CCCCCCCCAGCACATGCCCTCACCCCCCTCCCAGTGTCTTGTGTCCATTGGTTATGCTTATATGCATGCATATAAGTCCTTCGGTTGATCTCTTACCCCCCCCCCACCAACACTCCCCAGCCTTCCTGCTGTAGTTTGACAGTCTGTTCGATGCTTCTCTGCCTCTATCTTTTTGTTCATCAGTTTATAATGTTCTTTATTATCCATAAATGAGTGAGATCATGTGATATTTATCTTTCTCTGACTGGCTTATTTCACTTAGCATAATGCTCTCCAGTTCCATCCATGCTGTTGCAAATGGTAAGAGTTCCTTCTTTTTTATATCAGCATAGTATTCCATTGTGTAGATGTACCACAGTTTTCTAATCTACTCATCTGCTGATGGGCATTTAGGCTGTTTCTAAATCTTGGCTATTGTAAATTGTGCTGCTATGAACATAGGGGTGCATATATCCTTTCTGATGGGTGTTTCTGTTTTCTTGGGATATATTCCTAGAAGTGGGATCACTGGGTCAAACGGCAGTTCCATTTTTAATTTTTTGAGGAAATTCCATACTGTTTTCCACAGTGGCTGCACCAGTCTGCATTCCCACCAGCAGTGCAGGAGGGTTCCTTTTTTCTCCACATCCTCTCCAGCACTTGTCATTTGTTGATTTGTTGATGATAGCCATTCTGACAGGTGTGAGATGGTACCTCATTGTTGTTTTGATTTGCATCTCTAGACCACCAACTTACACCATACACAAAAATAAACTCAAAATGGATAAAAGACTTAAACATAAGATGGGAAACCATAAAAATCTTAGAAGAATCCATAGGCAGCAAAATAGCAGACATTTGTCGTAGCAATATATTTGACGATACAGCTCCTAGGGCAATGGAAACTAAGGAGAAAATAAACAAATGGGACTACATCAAAATAAAAAGCTTCTGCACAGCAAAAGAAACCATCAACCAAACAACAAGAAAGCCCACTGCGTGGGAGAACATATTTGCCGATAGGGTTTAATCTCCAACATTTACAGGGAACTCATACAACTTAACAAAAGGAAGATAAATGATCCAATCAAAAAATGGGCAAAGGACCTAAATAGACACGTTTCGAAAGAGGACATTCAGAAGGCCAAGAGACACATGAAAACATGCTCAAAGTCATTTATTTACTTTTTAAACCTCAACCGAGGACATTTTTTCCATTGATTTTTAGAACGTGGAAGGGAGAGGGAGAGACAGAGAGAAACACTGATGTAAGAGAGACACATCGATTGGTTGCCTCCCTCGTGCCCTCTGGCAACCAAGGTACTTGCCCTTGACTGGAATTGAACCCAGGACCCTTCGGTCAGCAGGCCGACACTCTACTGAGCCAAATCGGCCAGGGCTATTGCCATTTCTTTAAAAACAAAACAAAACCTGTCAAGTCTAAAATTAAAGCACCTGTGGTATGGAGCCCTGCCTTCCAGTGGGGTCCCTGGGCCAGCTGCAGACTTCCCCTGGGAGCTGGTCAGAGATGTAGAATCTCAAGCCCCACCCAGATCTACTCAGATTGTATATTTTAACAATATCCCCAGAGCAAGCATGTCAAAGTCGTGGCCCACAACAAGTATTTTTGCGGCCCAGCCAATATAATGGTATGTAAAAAACGTTTTAATAAAAATTTCATAACTTAATTTTTAAATATCCTGTTATACATAATCCTATATAACAAAAGCATAGTATGCAAATTGTCCCCTGGACCGGGAGTTGTCCAGGAGTTCGACCAGGGGGCAGGGCCAGCTGGGGGAAGGGACAAAGGCCCCTGTTGGCAGCCGCTAGGGACCCTACCAGTGCACGAATTGCACTGGGCCTCCAGTTATTAATAACGAACTACAATGTTTGCTAATGACTGTTACTATAATCATGTTGCATCCATTTCCCTTAGGCGCCTTACGCGCAGGCGCACCATTTCTCTCCACTAACACCAGCAGCGAATATTTTAGCAGCTGATGGCCACGTCATTAGTCTTGGACTGACTTGTTTGGTGTGCACAACAGGAAATATTTCACTTTCGGAGAACAAGAAAAATAGGTTTATTTGTGTTACACTTATTAATTTGTGTGGTTATTCAGTGTCTGGTAAGTTCATGTTCAAGAAAAAATATTGTTATTAAAATGTTCCTTTATTTTATGTTAACGACTCATTTATTTCAGCCCTTTGTGTTCAGCATGTCTCTCCCGAAATAAACCTACGTTTCTATAAAAATTGAAGCTTTTGTTTATTTGCAGCCCACATACACTTGCACCTTCTTTATTTGGCCCGTGTTAGCCTTTGAGTCTGACATGCTTGCTCCAGATGATCTGAATTTATGTTATAAGAAGCACTGGTTTATAAGAAATCACTTAACAGGAAGCATGTTTCTCTCCTACCAAGTTGGTTGCTCTGTTTGAAAGAAAAGTAAAAGTCTTTAATATAGGAAATTAAGTTAAGCCAGCAAGTGGCAGATTATAGCCTCAGGAAATTTAAAGTACTAAATTTGTCTGGTCTGAAAAAAAAAGAAAAGAAATCACTTAACAGAGTCTGAATACCAGTTCAAGATCCACATAAAAAAAACACATACACAGCCCTAACCGGTTTGGCTCAGTGGATAGAGCATCGGCCTGCGGACTCAAGGGTCCCAGGTTCGATTCCGGTCAAGGGCATGTACCTTGGTTGCGGGCACATCTCCAGTGGGGAGTGTGCAGGAGGCAGCTGATTGATGTTTCTCTCTCATCGATGTTTCTAACTCTCTATCCCTCTCCCTTCCTCTCTGTAAAAATCAATAAAATATATTTTTTTAAAAAAATAGTTAAAACACACACACACACACAAAAGTATTAGCTGGGCGGCTCAGACATGTTACTTAATCTCTCTGAATCTCAGTTTCATTCTCATAAGACACATGTGAGCTTTTCATGTATCAGCAGCTATGATACTACAATCTGAGGGATGATTAGAACTTGGTTATCAGTCTTTGTAAACGCTATAGTCAACCACTTAATCAAGTCAATAAATCTTTGAAAGACAATGCTGTCCATCCAACCTCCGCAGAGCACTTCGGGAAAAGGATAAGGACTGAAGTGGCGGCCCCACATTTTAGATACGAGGTACCTCTGCTCTGGAGGGCGGTCATTTGGGAGCATGAGCGTACAAGGACCGGTACATTTTGTCCTGTATATTTTATGGCTCATAAATTGTTTTCTACAGAGGGCTACACTGGTGTCCTGCTCTTCCAGTGGGTCTAAGGAAGGAGGAGGCAGGAATCAGGATCCTGTCCCACTCACTGAAGGACCAATGCACTGGCCTCACCTTAAGGCTTCCCCATGGCTGAGCCCAGAGCCGGGGGAAGGCAGCAGTCGTGTGTTTACACGAGTGC